GAAATTTTGGGTGAAGATTTTGGGCGAGCCGTTGAAATTTCGGTGTTAAATTTCCCAATTTCGCGGCAATCCCAATGCAAACTCTATATTAACTACATGCAAACTATATGCCAATTCATACAAATATATGCAAATTTATGCAAACTATACGCGAATTCATACAGATATAAATATGCAAACCGTATGCAAACTATATGTAAATTTATGCAAATATATATGCAAAACGTATGCAGACAATACGCAAATCCATGCAAGTATATGCAAACTTATATAAAATATATGCAGACCATATGCAGATTTATGCAAACTACATGCAGATCTATACAGATATATGTAAATCGTACGCAAAATCATGCAAACTTTATGCAAATATGTAAAACCATATGCAGGTTTACGCAGACTATATGAAGATTCAGACACAAATATGTGAACCATATGCAAATTTATGCAAACTACATGCAGATTCATATACATATATGTGAGCCACATGCACATTTATGTAAAATATATGCAAATTTATGCAAACTACATCCAGATTTATACACATATATGTGAGTCACATGCACATTTATGCAAAATATATGCAAATTTATGCAAACTACATCCAGATTTACACACATATATGTGAGCCACATGCACATTTATGTGAAATATATGCAAATTTATGCAAACTACATCCAGATCTAGACACATATATGTGAACCATATGCAACTTTATGTAAAATATACGCAAATTTGTGTAAAATATATGCAATTTTATGCAAACTACATGCAGATCTATACACATATAAGTGAACCACACGCAAATATAGGTAAAATATATGCAAATTTGTGTAAAATATATGCAATTTTATGCAAACTACATGCAGATCTATACACATATATATGTGTGCCACATGCACATTTATGCAAAATATATGCAAATTTGTGTAAAATATATTTGCAATTTTATGCAAACTACATGCAGATCTATGCACATATAAGTGAACCATACGCAAATATAGGTAAAATACATGCAAATTTGTGTAAAATATATGCAAATTTATGTAAAATATATGCAAATTTATGTAAAATATATGCAAATTTATGTGAAATATATGCAGAATGGCACGAATTAATGCGGATTTCGTTCTCTCCCGGCAGGCCATGAAGGAAGCCCCGCCCCGCCCCACCCCATTGGGCGGAGCCCCCCCGAGCCGGGTGGGCGGAGCCTCGGCCGGCCCCGCCCCTTCCCC